TTGATTAAAAGTGTGGAGCCGAGAGGCTTGGGCATGGACTTTCCTAATGTTAACTTCCTGTTTCCCCTGAGGTATTTATTCAGGTACAGCAAGAGGAATTAATAACTGCACAGTCTCCTCCCTGTTACTGCTAAGAGGCAGTCTAATGCTATACAGTTATCTAGTACCACATTAGCCAAGGAGTCTTATGAGGTCCCAAGTTTGGAACTTCCCCAGGAACTACGCCTAGCATAGCAGTGCCATGGGCTCAGAACACCTCTATCCTGTCCTGATTTAGAGAAATTGTGGCTCCAAACTTAGAAGTCCAAAAGGAGAATGGGACATTTGGGGAACAGAAGAAAGAATGAGTCAAAGTTTTAGATACCACTTCATGGACCGGAGGCTCCAAGAATCTTTTATTTCCTTTATGAGACACATCCCTTATATACATTCCCTCCTGGATAGGGTCCACTTTTAGTGATCAACACAGAAAACATGGCTACAGTGTTGATCAAAAACTTAGCTGGTGGCCGGGTACAGTGGCTCATGCCTGTAATGCCAACACTTCAGGAGGCCAAGGTTGGAGGATCATTTGAGCCCAGGAGTTCAAGACCAGCCCTGACAGCATAACGAGACCTTGTCTCTACAAACAAAAAGAATTAGCCAGGTGTGCCTTAGTCCCAGCTACTTGAGAGGCTAAGGTAGGAGGACTGCTTGAGCCTAGTTGGAGGCTGCAGTATGCCATGATCACAGTGCTGCACTCCAGCCTGGGTAACAGACTCTCTCTCAAAAAAATAAAAAAAAATTTAAAAACCCAACTGGCTGCCCCCCTTATTCTGTGTAACCTGGAGGGGAGATGTGGATCTTGCTTTGAGGAGCCAGGCAGGGAGCCTCATGGCCCCATCCATCAGTTTCTTGTCCGGTTACAGGGAACTGGTACCTCAGGCTTGTCCTCTTTCTTCCCTCTCTGGGGATGATTTGGACATTCCCTTTCCCAGCATCCTTTCTGCTTCCAGTAAGCACATTGTTTGGGCCTCAGTGTAGGCAGGCCCTGATTTCCATGGTGGGGGCCCTGGTCACTCACTCATGCCATCTTCTTCCTGGTTTTCCTGAAGTAGTCTGTAGGGCTGCTGCATCTTCTTGTCCTCTTTTTCATCAGATGCCACATCTCTTTACTGTAGACCTTAAAGGAGATGTCTACCAGTTGGAAAGGGGGAGTGTGTGGACTTATTGCCAATTTTTAGAGTTTTCTCTGAATATCTGGGGCTGAGAGATGAAGTGGGATTAAAGTACTACTTGGCTTTTGGGTCATCTGGGTCCCAAGGGGTGTAATTCTGGAGGCATTCTTATTATCAATTTAGGAATGCTGATGGATTTTCATTAGGGCCTTGTTCTGTTTCTCTGAGATTTCCCCAATTGACCGGGGGCTGGCTTGCTTCCCTCATACCTCTGAGAAGCATATTCCTATAATGATGAAGCCACTCTTGATTCTTGTCATCATTGGGGTCCCAGTTTGGGTTAGCTATTGGGACCAACACCTCAACAGGACAGGACACCAGGTTATCAGCACACATATTGTCTGCCTCCTCCTCAGTTTTGGCCATGGTGGCAGATTTATCTTCTGCTGTGAGCAGGGTTGCTGTTAAGGTCTGCACACCTGGCCAGGTAGGGTTATGTGTGGAGAATATTCTCCATATGCGAGTTATGAACTCTTGTGGCCTCACCCATAAGCCCTTACTATGGGATTTCCAGTTATACAAGTCAACAGTTTTAAAAAACATAGACCCAAGCAAAACCTCTTTCTCCAACAGGCACGCTCTGAGTGGGAACAGTCACCCTCCAGGGTTATATGCATTCCCACTATGAGTGGTGCTCCCTGGCAAAGAAGAGTACAGCGGGGGCGGGGGCCTGCTATTGCCATAGCAGGAGCCATTGCTGGCTCTGCAGAGTTTGGAGGGCCCGGCAAGTACATAATGGGCCCTTGCTTTCCCCTGGAGGTGCTGAGAGCACCATTCGCAAGGAAGAAGGTGGACTATGCCCCTGTATTGGTCAAGGTACCAGGCCCCGAGT